CGAGGTCGATTGTGAATGACTTCACCCTTTCAGATGCTATGATGTAGACGGGAACGAATCAGATTATTTCCACTATGTTTTGAAAGCATATTTCCTAGTAAATAGTATATTTGTTCTTTGCCGTGCTGCAACGACACGGACATTTTCCCACCCTGAGTAACGTCTTCAAATAACTATATCTGGGTTGACTTTTACCTATCAACAGAAAACGGGTAGTCGACATAGTCCCACGTATTGTACACCTTAGTAGTAAACCGCTCCTGCTTGTCTTGTTGTAAGAAAACATTGTGGAAAGCGGCTTCAGTAGAAGAGTCCATAGTGTCTTTGTTTATATACGATCGATGTGTTCAATGGATTTCTTATTATTAAAAGACAGCAGGCCATCGATATATCTGAATGTGAAACTGAAGGACTCGGCTAGGTCTTTTTTACTAGTCCTGATAAGCTCATCAGTAAATTCAGCTTCTAATGAAAACAAAAACAAATCGGCCAGAAGAGAGGCCAAGTTTGTACCCATAGGAATGCTTACAGTCTTCTGGAAAATCTTGCCACTGAAGTCAACAGAGATATTGTCAACCAGGATCTCCATCATTCTCACTCAATTTGTAATACACTGTAATACCCATATTTTAAACTAAAACAAATACACAAATAAAAATAGATTGAAAAAGAAAAACTATCTTGGGACAAACAGCGTCCGACTGCGAACGAGATCCACACCATAAGTTTGTACATGTATCGTCTTAAACAATATCCAAAATGACGTTTGACTATGTACTTATTTCGCTTATCAAAGTCCACCTCTTGTGCTTTTGAACGATTTGATCAGTTTCCCTCGAGAATTTCGTTTTATTTCATCGAGATATCAAGGACTTCAAATTGCTCCTGGGACAGGGAAAGGTATGGAAATATACATTTCAAGTTGGGCATCTCTATTGTTTTAATAAAAACAGTGCTAATGGTGTAGTAAACTTTGCTACATGTATGTGTAAAAAAAAACATTGATGTCAGCATTTCGCTATTTATCTTTTATATAGTTAAGTTATCTTTTTCTTTACGTATGGCATAAAACGTATATTGCCCAAACTATCCTCTCTAGCGTTCACAATGATGCTCTCTTCTAAGGTATAAATCACATTCAAATATTGTTTTGATCTAGTTTAAGATTTAAGACATTCTGAAACGTTTTAAAAGCAAATATGCATCTGAATATAAATAAATGACTATATGCTTATTGTTTCAAGAACTCTTTTTATGGTTTAAATAAAGACTTATTCGGCAATACAATGCTCAACGTCCACCCTTTCAATATTAGATTTATCACCAAAAGTGTCTTTGAAATTTGGCAAAAACAGAAGCACATTGACTCAGTACACCCCGACCACCCCACCCTATCCCAATTTAAGGGGCTGTTTCAGGAAGAAAAATACATCTTCATTCAAATGAACAGTAAGAAAAGTTTAATAGCAGCTATTTATATATCTATCGTTAAATATGAAACAAAAACAAACAAACAAATGAGAAGAAAAAAAGAGATTTAGGAAGAAAATAAAAAAAAAAGGCGTTGTGGCTTACCTAAATAAGTCTTCTGAGATGAAAGAGTAAGTTAAAGAAATTTCACTTCCATAATTAGGAAGAAATTACTTTTTTTATAATACAAACTTTCATAGTTTCATAGATTTTTTTTGCATAAGGCCTAAGAAAAATAAATTCGTTTCACATTTAAGGTTGACCTATCATAGAACAAATTTTAACCCTTTATAGGTTTACATCCTTAGGAGTAAGCATTGCTAGCATTGTAGCATACTTTATACATTTAACTGTAGTTTCTCGGTGTGAAGTTTTGTCGAAGGTAACGTTAGATAAATATCTTATGTGCTAATGATTTTATACACTGAGCTGCATTAGCCGTTGTATTATGATAATACATGTTATATTTACGAGAGAAATGTAGAGAATTATCGGTGTTTTAACACGGATATGTTCGCTACATTGACCATATACATCGGTAACTGATCAGTGAGAACAGAGAAATTATATGTATATACATAAAGCCAAAGGTTTCAGACAGCAGCAGTAAACAAAATAACTGATTTCGTCAATCCGAACATAAAAGGGGTCGAGAGTTGCCATTAAATAATGACGGTATGCCATATGGTTACAACGCTACTTTATCCCAAAAAACAAGGCAAAAACTGTAAACAAAAAGAATTAAATAAATGAAATAATGTCAATTTGAATTTTATGTTTATTTTGTTTGTATTTGAATGTTTTCATTCGTGCTCGAACGGCTGCTATATATTTGCATTATCAGCAGAGATTTTATCATCTATAAGATATTTATTCCACCTACCAGTATCATGGTAAATACATTATGGATGACGTCTGGAAATACATTAGAAGAAGTTAACAACGGTTCTGTAATTGGTTTACCCATTTGGGAATGCTTTCTCAAATTTAACTATCAGCACGAACTAGGTGACGTCAATATGTTGAGTGTTCGTATATCATTAATAAGCAGTTGATCAAAGTGCCTCTTTGGATGTGTTCATCTTGAAATTTCGCAACGCTCGACCGGGAATACGATCTCGAGGCCATTTGATGTGATCTCTAGATTGATGAACGGAACACGCACACACACACACACACACGCAAGCACGCACATACACACACACACACTCACACACACACACACATACATATATATATACACACACACACACACACATACACACACACAAACAAACACGCCAACATGAATTACACTACGTCATACAGCTTTTATCCAGCGGATTGCGACAAGAAAAAAGAATGTGATAATCTATTAATCCCACTGGGATTTTATTATAACAGTTATATCGCTGTCAGGTCGCATGATTTAAGCAAGCGCATCCAATCTGTTTGTGAACGGAACAGCAATCGAAATTAAACGCGATACAAAGTAGGGTAAAATATGAACAAATGAGCACATTTACATGGTGATCTTTGACAAGTACAATGATGATAAGCCAAGGTGTTCGGGGAAGTTATTCAAGCTCTCCAACGACAGCCGCCGTGTAAATCCAGTAAATCCCAAATAATGTCAAATCAACACAACGATTACATGGACAGTGAAAATGAAACCATCAGCCACATTGTTCAACACAAAGATATGCATATACACAAGGAAATAAAATATTTCACATTTATATTAATCTATATGAACCTGCACCTCTCAAAACGAAGTGTTCTAAGTTTTTCCGCCAGCTTTCACCATCGATAACGGAATTACTTATATTCGAAGCAAGTCGTAAGATATCGAATCAATTGCGACAGATCAACGACAAAGTTGGGGGAATTGGGGATTTTATTATAAAGAAATGGAAAGTTCACTTTCGGTAAATCGAAATCGCCCCTCTTATAATAAAACTTAAAACTTTGTAATAAACCGTTAGCGAAGATCTGATGATCATACTGTAAGAAGAAAAAAACGTCACAACGTACGGATACCATATGCAAAATGTCTTATCATACTGCATCCATTAATAAAATCGCTGAGCTTAATATCATCGTCAGCAGTCGATAATCACCTTTTCTACATTTTAATTTCTTATTAAAAAAAGACCTCCACCCGAAAATAATTATTTTTTTCAAATTGATTTAATGACGCACTCTAAATTTGCATTTTACCTCAAATATGTGTAGTTCTAATCAAAACATTAAAAACACCGTTTTAATCATGGAAAACTCTCCTATGTTAGGTTGGTGAAAACAATAAAGTTGAACAATGATGTTGGCGTCGTTATCTGTGAGGTAGCACACCAAATGTTCATGACGTTGTCAAGCACAGTGCTTGGTGGCGTCAGATTCAGCTAATGTTATGAACACTGTATTAATATTAGTATGCACTTTATTGCTGTATTCAACTGTTGTGCTTAACCATGGCTTATTTTCATTGTAGATTTTAAGCATTAGACAAAGAAGGGAATAATTATATAACACTCGTGTGATAACCTATAGTTTCTGTAAAATACATGCGCTATTTAACAGACAACACATCCTTTCTCCTTTAAACTACGCCTGTTTCTGAGTATCAATAAGCAGCTTGTCAGATCAAGCTTGCGCCCTAGCTTGATCCTAGTATTTATTACATTATAAATGTTATAAACTCTACTCTGTGATCGTGATTCCTTGATGGTACGTATGTACGCAACCCTCTGGTATTTCATAACACACCCCAATGATACGTGTAACGATTTCCAGTAATTCAGAGGAAATAATGCATTTTGCAATACCTATAAATCAACATTGTTATAGATTTACTATAATATGAACGAAAACATGAAACGTCGATTAAACTGGGGATGTTTTTATTAATCTGTATTTGTGACGTCATTTGGTCCACACGCCCAAAGCTGTCCAAAGTGTACGCCCGTATAAGGTCATGTGTCATGTGGGTAAGACGATGAACTGTTGATAGGTGGTATGCTTGTTTATTGTGAAGAACTGATTCAGATTGTGATTCGGCTGAAATGTTTCTGATTCCTTAACGAGGTTTTCATAATTTTTGTAATGGATGCAAGGGTCATATTCATTAGCTCTGACAGCAATAGAACCTTGATACCCTAACTGCCATTACATCAGTCTTCCTAGCTGTGATTGCGCTACTTTTTCTTTGTTGCGCAATCTCCTTGCTGACAGGGACACCACTGTTTTCGTTCCCCAAAATTCCTAAAATAATATTTCTTTTGTCTACTTTCTCCACCAATAGTTGACCATGACAATGCTATGTTGGTCTTTGTAATCATGACAAAATTACTTTGGTCCCCGTAACCGTGACAACATTACTTTCGTCCCCGTAACCGTGATACAATACATCGGGTCTTGCAGCCGTAACGACATTATATTGGCTCCCGTAGCTTTGACAAAACTACCTTGGTTTCTGTAGCTATAACAACAATACATTTGTCCTCCTAACTGTGACAAGACTCCATTTAGTGTTCCTAGCTGTGATAGCAATACCTTGGTACCCCCCAATAAGACAACAATAGCTAGCTGTGACAAGCTCACATTGGTGCTGGCCGCTGTTTGGTGTGTGGTGGCTGGAAGCTTGTCCCCAGAGATTGCCCATACTTAACCGTGACGCTACTATTGGTGGATTCATATATAATTCATTGGAAATTGTGTAGGCGAAGTTCTCCACTCGGTGCGGCTGCTAGCTCCACACGCCGCGCTGTATCCTGGTCTGTATATAGTTTGAGCTTTGGATCACGACTTTCCTTACGAACGGACAAGGACGGAACTCGCACAAACTTTTTAAACTGGACTACATTTGTACATCCCTAACTCCTTTGGACGAATCTTCACCCGGAAAAAAACAAAATCTGGATACGGAAAAGGAGAAGATATTAATTTTCCTAACCTCTCTTTTCAAGTGGAATTTATTATAAAAGGAAAGTACACACCACCAAACAGTATAAGGTAGGTCGCGTAGTAATAAGTTACTACATCTGTTTTGTTCTAAATTACGCAAGTGTTAATGAAATAATTGATATACGATTTGGAGTTAAAATTGTTCATTTTTTAAAACGTCTTTGGATAGTTTTCAGTTCAAACATAGTGTTTAAGAAAGGAGCCGTGGAATATATTTTTGCGCCTTCTTAGCATTTGACAATGTGTTGTTTGAATAAAAAATCGGTGTAAAATCCTGTAATTTGTAAACCACCCTGTCGACATTGTACTTATAAAACATGTTTTCATTGTAATAAAATTAGGTATTATAAATTGATGTTGTCCAAAGACAGCAATAAACGATGCAATTCATGAAAACAAACTTTTTCGGATAACCGACAGCAGCTTGTGTCTTTAGCTCATTTACTGCTTTTCTCAACTTTCCGCCATGTTGACGATGTCAATTGTATCGTTTGAAATAGTATATTTACCATAACTTGACTTCTATGAAAAGGGTGAATGTTGTACAGCGGTGTATATATTCCTCGTGCATATTAATGGTAAAACATGTTGCTATAAAAAACAGGTCTAAAGAAAATGTAGCAAAGTATATTTGCTGCAGTTTGTTTGATATGATAAGTAATTTATGTTCAGTTATGGATATATTTGTTGATGTCGGAGATAACAGTTTGAATGTGTCTTTGCTATGTTAGGATTAATGCTGGATGTTTAATGTTATAGAAATCTTCCTTATAACCAAGTAGACAATTTTTGTTATCAATTTTGGTATATCGAAATGTTACAAAATTGGTAAATCTCTAAAAATGTTGATACCTATAAATTGGTGGTGGTGAGTATTTTGTTAAGAGAATTGCCGACGTTACAGTGCTCGCAGAAGGCGGGGCCTGTCCCCGACACTGATCTCACGTAATGTACACAGATAATAAGACGTCAATTTTCTATTTCTTGTGTCAGACAAATTATACGTTGACCGTGCATTCTCGCCCTTTTATGGTATCGAACTAATGGTCAGTATTTGTGCTTCGTCTGGTCAGCCAAGCTCTGCGCTGAACGCCTCTTTTCACCTTTGTATAGCACAAGTTGTTGGGATTTCAATACGTGAGTGCTCTAAGAAAAATCTTCAATCAGTTCTCCAACCCCGTAATTTACTCTTTCATTAAACTACATTAAGCTTTTATTATTTGTGTATTGTGACGGGACCCCTGACGAAATGGTGTCACTATTTTGTTCTAACTGTTTCAATTCCGTTTGTTTTTGTGACGAAAACGAGCATTCTTAATATAACCAAACTTGTATAACTCACTCGTCCCTAGCTCAAATTATTATATAAATCTCCTTAAAATTAGCAAAGTATGACTTACCAAGGATTCTGTTTTCTGTTTCGCATAGGTTTTTGGTTAAAAATCAATCTTCTTATAATTTACATAACATACAAGTTGTAAGATATTGCTTTTCGAAACTCTGTTAGCAGTTGACATCTTTTACGTTTAAATGATATAATTTGACTACTGGATAGAATGCAATAGGTTATCATCAAGTAGTTTCCGAAAATGTACAACTCTACAATTGTTTAATTAACCTTGATTCAGCTTAAATAAAGGCTTTCATATTATTTTAATTGACAGAGATTTGGAAATGCTTTATTCGTTTGTGCACGGAAATCAAATTAGAAACAATTTAAAAATGAAATGTTATTTTTGAAGGCAAAAGATAATCGTTATCACTTCTAGGAAAGTCATAACAAACGAAACCGTGAATGAAACAGCTTAATTTGCTGGCTGTGACGTCATTGTAACTGCCACGGTTACCGAGAGATGCCACTCCCAAGACACTTGAGTGACAGGGGGCATGGTTTTGTGACGTCACATTTTCGTATCGTATCACCGTGATAATTAGATAAAGATATTAGATAACTTGTTCCGCCATATATTTGTCAATTTCATTTTCTACTTTTAATTTACAAAAGAAGCCATTCCCTTTTATCTTGCTAGGGACTTTTCAGTTCAAATTCCATCTTATTCAATTCACATTTAAAAATCCACAATAATTAGATACGGCCAACAGTTCTTTTTATTTCAGAACAAAATACAACAAATTTTCAATCTCTTGAGAACTAAATAAATACATTAATAGATAGATTAATAAATACTTAATTTAATTACTAATGAAATAATAAAATTACTATAACCTACGATGTTGTTTTGCTGAGAAATATTTGTTTTAAATATTTTCCGAAAGTTGTTTCATAATTGACATTTTCATATGCCTCTTGAATCATTAGCTTTGTTCTGATAATGAACACCAGGACTTCTCTAATATAAATATTCCAGAATCTATGGGCAGACGTTACGGACCGATAATTGTTTTTTCTCTACAAATTAATGCGAGAATCGTTATGCACTGAGCAAGAAATTGGCAATTTTCTCTTGAATATTGGGTTCGATGAATCAACAGTTAGTTATTGATTATGAGCTGTCATCATTCATCGACCAGAAGATGAGATCAACTGCAAGTATCCCAGAGAGCCCCTGCTCAGATTGTAATCACGCTGTCGCCTGACACGCCCCCGGTAGGGAGATCACCACCAATACGCGCTTAAACATATCTGTGTTTGCACAGTACTACCTCGGCAATCGATCTCTCGTTGATTTGCTACTGTTATTCAAATGGCTTTTAAAATGATTTCATATATAATCCTGCAGGTATTCTTTAGCATAAGGAATAAGTAGCAGAACAATTTGATTCTGTTTTCCATTATAAGTACACTAACTACGGTTTACACTTTTTGTTAGATAATTCAGATATCACACTTTACAGAAGGGTTTGAGATAACCTTTACCGATTATCAAACTTCGCATATGCTTGTGGTTAAATCATAATTCTACTTTTGGCATAGACAACATCAGCTACAAAATACCGTGTTTTCAACACAAAAATGAAACCTCTAATTTCATTGGAACTTCCTCCTAAAATTTCTTGGGTAAAAAATAATTCATCAACAGATAATGTTTTCATCAATGAAATATCCCGTAAACCAGCGATAGGATCTCGGACCAGTTACGTCTTTCATCGACGTTTCCTACCTCTCACATCTCTGGTTCAGCTCCTCTTAAAACGTTGTCAATATTTGATGAGGTCTGTTTGCCCGGTAATTCTACAGTCACTTCACGGCCCTACATTGTAACTCTGTTCAGTGTTAGAGCAGAGCCAGCTACCGAGGTAGTCACCAAGGATAGCACGGGTCCACACAGTCACATATTGTAAATGTGGGACATGTTTCTTTTTATTATTATATAACTAAAAAAGACCAGTATTTGTCCATTAGTTGTGATATATTTACCAATGGGTTAATGTTGTTGTTGGTCGCAGAAATACTTTTTAACTCCATTCAGACTGAAACTTAAATTTTGTTTACATACCTTTCACAGCAGGTAAAATCATGTGACGTCATTTTCTTGAATAAGGAGGATTGCGTTTGAGATCTGAACATCAATGCGATTTAACCAGGAACTTACAGCGAATAAAGACAAATAAAACGGGATAAAGATCTATGCTGACTTACAGCCCCGTTCAGACTCCCGCGGCCGTGCCAGTTCTCTGTATCCTCCCTCTATCTAGTTACACCCACTCAATCTGCTGTTTGATTATCTATAGCAAATTGTTGACTGTCACTGTCACATTTATATCCTTATTTACCCAATAATATCCCGGAACACCGCTGTATGACCTGAACCGTCACATTGGTGGTATGTATACTGCCGTTTTATGGAGCAACCTGCCATCCTTTAATTTCCTCTTGAATTATTAAACGAAATATTTCTAAGGCTTATAATAACATCCTTGATGTGAGATAAGCAGTTGTGGCCGTGCTAACGCGACTAACTCTTGTTGTAACGACACGTCAACAGTTGTTTTAATGATGACTCGACAAAAACCGTATCACAATCTTAAATCTAACAAATTACTATCGTACGATGCTTCCTTTCACAATCTATTTTCGACTAGTCAGGTTTATTATTTAACAGTGAAGAGGCCAATGCTGGCTTCTCAGTGGTTATATACTTCTGCTTTGATAATCATGCTGGATGGATTGATGTGACATCGTTAAAACTTGTGTTTTTTAATGTTTTGAAGGACTGCTGTAATATCGTTTATTAAACCTGTTTGGTTACAATGACGTGGACCCGTGTGATATTTGTATCAAACTGTTTTGTTACAATGCCGTGGATTTCTGTAATATTTGTATCAAACTGTTTTGTTACAATGCCGTGGACCCGTTTGATATTTTTATCAAACTGTTTTGTTACATAGTCGTGATAGACTTCTGTAATATTTCTATAAAAACTGTTTGGGTTACAATGTCGTGATAGACTTCTGCAATATTTCTATTAAACCTGGTTGGTTACGTTGTCGTGATCTGTAATATTTCCATTAAACCTCTTGGGTTACAATGTCGTGATAGACTTCTGTAATATTTTTATTAAACCTGATTGGTTACAATGTCGTGATAGACTTCTGTAATATTTCTATAAAACTGATTGGTTCCATTGTCGTGTTAGACTTCTGTAATATTTTTTATTAAACCTGTTTGGCTACAATGTCGTGATAGACTTCTGTAATATTTCTATTAAACCTGATTGGCTACAATGTCGTGATAGACTTCTGTAATATTTCTATAAAACTGATTGGTTCCATTGTCGTGTTAGACTTCTGTAATATTTTTTATTAAACCTGTTTGGCTACAATGTCGTGATAGACTTCTGTAATATTTCTATTAAACCGGATTGGTTACAATGTCGTGATAGACTTCTGTAATATTTCTATAAAAACTGATTGGTTCCATTGTCGTGATAGACTTCTGTAATATTTTTTATTAAACCTGTTTGACTACAATGTCGCGATAGACTTCTGTAATATTTTTATTAAACCTGTTTGGTTACAATGTCGTGATAGACTTCTGTAATATTTCTATTAAACCTGATTGGTTACATTGTCGTGATAGACTTCTT